TAATTATGGTATGTGAGCCAGAATACAAATAAATGCAAATGAACATTGAAATCACATCCGGTCTTATTTTTCAAGCATAGGTTTCCAGTTTTCAATGCACACACACAAACTTTATTAAACCTTATTACAGACATTATATAAGAGAAATAAATGGAGCTTAAAGCAACTGAGTTGTCATTTTTGCAGAAATGAGTGTCAGCGTTTCTCTGCTGCTGACTCGAGCAATAAACTCGTAACCCGTCTTTTCAAGGAAGCCTGACAAATAGTGTGTTTTATGAATGATACACACATTCTCTACAAGCCACAATACACTAGTTTTACTGGTTTACATTAAAACAAAGCATTTAAGGTGTGAACATTAACACAGATTTGTTAAGTTCACAGCTGCTTTTATTAGATTTGCCACAGAAACTTAAAAATAATACCYGAGTTTTTTTTGTCTGAGCTTTTCTAAAAGTAAACTACGTAACAAGAGTCTGAATCAATTCTCAATACATGTAGAAAATATTATCTACCTTTTAGACTATGTAGACCATTTAAAGAGTTAGCATGGTAAAGGTGCAGATATTATGATTTGGTACTTTTTTCTACTCTGGTATTTTTAACAATTTTTACCTTTTGTGAACAATTTGTGACATTTTCAGTTTTTATGCTTGTGTCTGCATTATTACTGAGATCCTATTAGTTGTGTTGTGAAGTTTGGGGTGTGTATTGTAAACGACTGGCTGTTGTTGTTTTATTTTTAAATTTTTTTGAGAATACTCATGTTTCATGTTAGTGTTTTTACATGGTGAAAACTTAGTTTTTCACTGTGAGTAAAATATAAACTTGCGTTCTTCATTTTAGTGTTGAACTCTTGCTTTTAGACTTTATTTGCATTTGAAATTATTAATGGACTCAAACAACACATAGGGGTTTACTGTGGCTTTTATTTAAGTTTTATTTGACTAGCTTAAAYCATATTGTACGACGGAGTATTAGGGCCACACAAGATTTTTTATTTTATTTTTTTAAATTACGGAATAAAGTCAAAATATTATGACAGTAAAGTCGTATAAAAATAAAGTCATAAAATTATGAGATTAAAATTGTAATATTACGAGATAAAAGTCATAAGATTGTAGCCTTAACACGAAAAAGCATGCAGTTATCTGCATTAAAATGAGGAATGTTGATCAACTTGTCGAGTTGTTCTTTAATATTGCTATAAATAAATACTTAATCTTTTAGCACATTAGCATCAAATTATCAGTAGCAGGACTTGGATATTGTGCAAACAACTATGAACTGAAGCCGTATTGTAATTAATGGATGCATTGGCAGATTGAGTCATCATGAAGCTAATTTGGATGAAAGCATATTAATCTAACAGTGACCCGAGTCATCAATGACTACTTTATAAACACAGACACGTGGCTGTATACAGCAGGTGTGGGGAAAATAAGAAGGAAATGAGGAACGGGAAATAGACACGTCAGAATTATGACTTTTTTTCTCGTAACATTGCAACTAATCTCATAAAATTATGACTTTAATCTTGTAGTATTACGACTTTAATCTTGTAGTATTACGACTTTAATCTTGTAGTATTACGACTTTAATCTTGCAATATTATGACTTTATTCTCATAATAT